TGCTATTTGGCTTCTTGAATATTTCTGATAACATGTGACTATGACGTTCAACATCTCTTCAAGATTTTTAGTTATTTTTATTTCCACAAAGTTACTTAAAATAATTTTTTAACTTATTAAGAGTTTGTGATTTTGCACTTCTCATATATCTGTGGAAATCACACCTATATACAAACCTAAAATATTTGTACATATCTGCCTCAAAGCCACTTGTACAAGTAAATATCTAAATCGATTTTGCTCTTATCTCTAAGAATTTCCAACATCAAGAATAAAAGTAGTACAGAATGTAATGGTAACTGAGTTTAATATCTGTCTGAATATAAAAATTACAGCAAACAATTAATTGCTGAAATGTTTCTTAGGGCTCACAAAAACCATACCAACCCATTAAAGGTTAAGTGTTAGGCAACAGGAATAAAATAATAAAATAAACATAAAATATAAGCTTACTACATTTGCACACACAATTCCTTTAGGGGCAAAACAATTTTCTGAGAACTAACCTAAGCGTGAAATCTGATAACAATAAACAAAACTATATTCATTCTTATCTAATCTTAACACAAAATGATGATTGATTAACAAAAATATTTTCAAACCACATTTATAAACCATGAAACGGCTGTTTGTCTAAAATACCATCATCATCTACCCAAACTCTGATTTCAAAATTAACAGTTTGAAAAGACTAACCTTAATTCAACAAATAAACTCTTTTAACATATGGCAAGCGTAGAGTTCCATGCCACAGAAGCTGCAGTGCAAAAGCAAGCACCCGATAATCATCTCATGTGCACAGCACACCCCTGCATGTCGTGGCAATACACAGACCGGACCACGTGAGAGTCAACTTGTCGGACGCAGTTTGAATGAAGCAGTGAAATTCGTCTTTCCGTTAACAGTCACACTCATCTACTTGTGTAGTCTAAGTACTTTTTATAATAAAATATACTTCCTTAACATTCTCTAATTATTTCTCAATATTTTTAAAATAGGAAGAAAGTGCAAGAAATGCCATCAATTTAAAATTAAAATACTGCTAAAAATTTAAGAAACACTTGCAAAAACTGAAAAAAAATTAATAGGACAGTTAGTGCTTTCTTACCAGTATTTTACAAAATAAATACTGCCTGGTGATTTTGTGACAAATCAATATACCATAAAGTACCCTTTGTAGCTCTGAAGTCTTCATTTTGAGCCTTAAGAAAAGCTGGCAATCATTCCTAATGAAGTCTTTCTATAGTTACATAGTTTTCACATCTCTTCTGAAGATATATTAAACCTTTGGGCTCAATAAAACTGACCAATCAGTTGACTCTACCATAAGAACCTGAGAAGCTATTTTAAAATATTTACATTAAAGACCAGCGAAGTTAAAATAAGTTATCACTCTACCTAGCATACACTCTTACTTAATTTACTAAGTTCAAATTTTTTTCAAATGGATTCTTTCGAAGGAAACAATAAAAGATGTACCACAATAGGTAAATTCTCAATATTGCCATTCAAATTTACCTAAAGTAAGAAATGATACATCAGAAATTACTGTGAGAGAACATCAAAACAGAGTATGGAGGAAAGAAGAGAGCTCCGGGGTCAAACAGAACTCATGAATTCTTGATTCACCTCTCACTAACTTTATGATGTTGGGTAAGTTCGTAAAGCCTCTTTGGAGTCTTAATTTCAATTATCAAATGGAAACACAAGGCCAAACTACAGGCTGCTATGAGCACTGAATTAGAGAACATGTAATAGTAGCACAGTACCTGGACCATCATAAACACTCAGCAAATGGCTATCGTTATTACTAAGACGTGTTTAATAACTCATACTCAGTATAACTTAATATTCAAATTCCAACTGATGTTGTAAATCGTTAGAAGGAAAAATATAAAAATTCAATACGATTTTTCTTTAATGAACTTAACCGTGGTATCCTTTACATTAGTGTTTTCAAGCTGCAGGTGATGATCCTTAATGGGATTGAAATCATTTAGTGGATCTCAAGCAGCATTTTTAAATAAAATTGAATAAATAATATAAGAATGCATTGCATAGAGAAAATTCCAGCATTGATTCACGATATTTTTTTAATTAAACATATTTGTGATGTATCTATACACTGGATAGCAAAATAAAACATAGCATTTACTGTGCAAAAAAAAAATTAAAACCAGTGCTTTACATTATAATAAAAACAAAAATAATGACCTGACACTGAATGCTTAGTTTCTACTAGACACTGTTCCAAGCACATACACTATTTCATTTCATCTTCCCTCAAATCCTGTAAGGTCGATACTATCACTTCCCCAATTGTACTGATGAGAAAACTGGGACTTAGAGAGATAAGTCACTTGCCAAGGATGCACAGCTAGCAACTGGTAAATCCAGGGTTCAAATTTAGTCACCTGACTGAAGAACTTGCACATTAACCACTTCACAAGTGTTAGATTATAGAATGTAACTTCTCCTTATATACAAGTTATTCAAAAGATATACTTTTTCATGAAGCCTAACCGTAGAGCACTTTTCCTGGAGGTGTGGCCTATCTGGGAGAAGGCAGTGTGATTCGGAGGTGAAGGCACTGGGCGTGAGAGCCAGCTTCGGTCCCTGGCATTGTTGCTTCAGTGGCAAGGAACTGGCAAGTCATTTAATCTCTCTGTGTCTGGATTTCCTCACCTACAAAACAGGAATGATAGTATCTGCCCTGCCTCCCCACAGGCCACTGTGAGCAAGTATATGTACATATTACAAGTGAAATGTTCCTTTGTGCTACTCAGTTATATGAGATGATCATTAATACCACCCCAGAGGCCCCATCCGTCATAGACACACATCAAATATGATGAAAACAGGAAGGCCACCAGGTCTGTATAAACTACATGAGAACACTCCACACAGTTCTTGGCACACCAGAGACCTCCATTAAACTAAAAGAAGTAATCCAATTTGACTTTTATACATGTTTTATCCATTTGTATTTTATTTTAAATTAATTCATCCTTTTGTACTGAATACTTACTATATGCCAGATTACAAACGTGGGCTACAAAACAAACAAACCTGAAGGGCCATCCCTTGCCCTGGAAAATCTCATATTAATTTCAATTACCTTTTCCAAAATTGTGTAAGAGAACATTGCAAAATGCAGCTTCCTCATCTAGTAACAACAATAACTTCGGTTTATTATAGTGCTTTATAATTCAGAAAGAACTACAGGCATACCTTGGAGATATTGTAGGTTTGGTTCCACACCACCACTTCCTTGTGCAAATGGAGGGCCTTGCTTTCAATTAGTTTAAAAAAAAAAGCAACACCTGTGAGGTGCAATAAACCAAGTTCAACAAAACGAGGTATACTTCTGTGTGGCAGCTTTTGTTCCTCATACTAATTGCCTAAATAAGTCGAGTCTGTATCATATTCCTGACTCCAAATCCAGCGCCAAGTACGCTGTCTTTAGAGGGAAAGTTTCTCAGAGGTGACTATAAAAATAAGGTTTTGAGGAATATACATTCTTAAATAATGCTGGGACGGGGTGATGAAGAGCGTGATTGTTCTTCCTTCGCAGTCCTGAGTTGATCTATAGTCTACAGCGCGACCATGTCATCTATATAAGAGGCATTTTCCCAAATGTTTCTTTTAAAAACCTGCCTTTGAATTTATTTTCTTACAGGCAATTTTCTGTTGAATATCTTGAACTAGGATTCAGTCTTCCCCCAGAGTAGAGGTGGTAGCAGAGAAGGTGTCCTTCCTTTGTTGACTTTTTAAAATTACTCAAAACTGATTGTTCTATTCAGATTCCTAAGTCACATAACAATGCCAAATAATCCTTAGCCATTTTACATATAATTCAACAACTGCTGTAGGCGATTTTTACAGGGAGACAATGATTTGACGACAACTTAATGAATTGAAAATTTGCTGCAGGAAATTTACTGAGAATCTTACTAAAATTGCCTTATCCTTTGTATTCTAACCACTCCCTCTCCCTCACCCTGTTCTCCTTAACACACACACACGCCCTCACTTCCACAAGAACAGTTTTCCGGCTATTATTCATAAAACCATATTAAAATTTCACAACACATGGTCATAGTTCCTACGTTTTGTCTCCCCTCCCCGCATCCAAGGAACCAAAATGTGTTTAAATATACACAATCTCTCTTAAAATTCAGAATCCAGTTAATGTTTCTGATGCCTCTATGCTGAGAATATCTAATATCAAGTGTGAACGTCAGCCCTTCTGTTTACTGACAACCATGAATAAAGGCCGTACCCCACCCACCCGGTCCATAGGGTTAGGGGTGCAATCTCGCCACTACAGACCTCTGCAAGAAAGGACGATTACAGAACCAGGAAAACCGTAGCCAGACCTCTGGGAGAAGATAAGGAAAACAAATTTTACACTACTGGCAACGTGTAATCTCCTAGCTCCAGCCCTCGGTAAACAGGGAAAACCTTTGTCTCGTTCCAGCCATCCAACTGGGGCTCATCGGAATTGGGGCAACAAGGGTTTGCGCGAAATGACTTGGCAAAGGTTAAACAAAGCAATGCAGCCCAGGCAGGGGAGAGGGCTGACCCTGGTCGGATCTGAGGGCTGACCTCTCAGATCCCAGACGGCGAGGTCTCGCTCTGTCCCGCGCCGCCACCCGGACCCGAGCCGGGGACCCCAGGACAGGAGTCCGCGGCGCGGGAAGGAAAGAGGGAATTAAAAGGTCCCACGCTCTCGGCAAGTTCCCGTACTCGCTGCCCGTCCGCAGGTTCCCTCGAGTGGGTTCCTAAACGGCGCACGCCACGCGAGGGTTGCTCCTGGAGTGTCCACAGCGGGCCACGCCAAGCCCACGCTTCCAGGGCAAGGGCAAGGGCAAGGTCGGGCATCCCGGAGCGCCTCGGGGACCCCGCCCGGTGACCCCGCCCGGGATCGCGAGTGGAGGGGAAAAGCCCGCTCGCTGCCCCCATTGTCTGGCTCCGGCTGCGGCCGAGAGGGCGCTCACCTGAGGTCCCCGCCCGGCGCCGAGGCTGGTAGAGCGGCTGGACAGGGACGAGCGGTCCCGCGCGGGCGGCGGACGCGACTGCCCAGCCCGCTGCGGCCCCGCAGCACCAGCAGCCCGCTCAGCAGTCCCGGGAGCGCACCCGCCTCTCAGGCGGCCGCGGCCTCCATTGCTCTCCCCGCCGCCGCCACCGCGCGGCACTGCTCGCCCGGCCGGCGCGGCGTGGTCACATGTTCCGCCGGCGCCTCGGGCGCTCGGACCCGCGCCGCGGCCCCGCCCGGCTTCGCCCCTGGACCGCCGGGCGCCGCCGCGAGGCGCTGGACGCTCTGAGTTCCTCTGGCGCCCACCGGGAGTGGCGCCCACCGGGAGTGGCGCGCACCAGACGGCCCCCCGCTGGAGGGTGCCCAGAAACCGGGAGCCGTCCACAGGGAAGGGCGTGGGATTGACCACCGCCTAGCCCACCACTGCAAGGGAGCCGCCAGAGGGACATCTGAACGCGTGGGTTCTGAAGTTATTGCCATGGGTTCACTGAGAGGCTTACATGGGGCAAGAACCCTCGACCGTTAGTCACCTCTCTATGGGATGCACATCCGGCCCTTGGTACCTGGATGAGTCAGAGACTAACGGGAGCGATCTGGACTCCAGAGGAACTTTCGACCTGCGAAGCCCCTACGGTGGAAAACAGCACTGGGACTCCTGAAAGTCGAACAGGTTGAAAGATGCCACACAGAAATAGAAAAGCTCGAAACTGCTTTGCTGAGTAGCTGTACATTAGAACTAAGTGACAATGACATTGAGCATTATTGTCCCCAGCCACAATGAAATTAGATATTCACTTTGATGTTTCAGAAAAATTTGTATCTGTTCCTTTTTTGGCCTCACTGGAAACACTGAGACTTTTTCTCCATATTTTTTGTTACGAAACTCAAGGGTTTCAATGTGTTACCAAACTCAAGGGTTTGGGGGCTTGGAGTGTTCTAGTCAAGTACCAGATGTGGTTGTCCCTAGGTGGTTTCATTTGCTTACAGCAAGTAAAGGAGACAAGGCATTCACATCCAAAGCTCTGTCTCTGAGAAGGGAGGTTTAGTGTCTGCTTACACACTGTTTGGTTAATTACATGTTGATTTCTTCTTTGTAGTTGGCTATACTTGTCAAGTTGGGTTCCTGGGTTCAGGTCAAGCTCATCGTGTTAACATCTACTTCTGCAAAATATTGTGCTATATTTTAACATTTAACAAGAATAGCTTTTAGAAAGAACTGTCCATACCTTGAGACTTGTCCTATCTAAATGAAAATCAGTTTCTGGTGATCTTTCCTTTCACTATTCATGTAAAGATGCTAAAAATAACTTAACATCATTATTAAGCAGGAAATTTAAAACAACGCAAAAAAATCTCAATGACAAAGATGCAAAAGATGAAAGGTAACCGCCGAAGGTACTCAATCTTGATCCAGATTTTTCAATGCCCAAAACAGGACTAATAATTTTAAGGTAGATGCATGACTTAGAAGAAGCAACTTTGATACTGCAAAGATGTAATGCATGTTATCTTACCCAACTGGATCTAGATAAACACTTAAATTAATACCAGCATAAAATATGGTTGTGTATTTTTGTGAATATAGGTATCTCTCAGTTGCTCAATCCTTACACGTCCTAAAGTATGTCTGCTTTATTCCTAATAGGAATAATGAGGAATTTTGTGAAGGTTAAGCAAGTCACTTTTGATTTAATACAAAGCACTAGACGTTCCCCAAAGCTCAAAATTAAATCTGTGTAGAACATATAACCGGGGTCTTTTTCATGATGTAGATTTGTCAACTACAAGAGAACATACTCTATAAAAATAAAAATTTACATAAATCAAGTTTGGGTCTACTGTCTTTTGATTTTACAGGGCAAGGTACCCCAAATTATACACCCTTGAAATATTGAAAGAGTTCCAGAGAATTCATATTAGAGCTTTCTAGCTAGACTTTGTGTCTTGCAGGCCTCAGAAGTCACAGCACCACTCTAGACAGGGGCTGTTTCCCCCTCACTTTTCAAACACATTTGTTCATCATTACTACAGATGGGGCTGTAAAAAACTGTGGCTCATCAAACCAGGTACCAGTCCACTGTTGAAATAGCTAATTGCCTTTCAGTTAAGACATATTTTCAGAGAACTTTATGCAATGCAAGAGAACACTGGGCATGTTAAAAATGTTTAACCATCTATTTGTTATGTGAGGATTATAGAAAGGATGTGAGAAATTAATTATATAGCTAAAACAGTCATTCTCAATTATGGGTAATTTTGGCCTCTAAAAGCTGTTTAGCAATGTCTAGAGACATTTTCGATTGTCACAACTGGTTGGCAGATGCTACTACTGGCATCTAGTGGGTAGAGGCCAGAGATGCCGCTAAACATTGTACAAAGCGTAGGACAGTCTCCACAGCAAAGACCCACTGATCAAAACATCCATAATGACAAGGAAGAGAGACCCCGAGTTAGACCCGGACTAACGAAGCCTCTTGAGTCTACACTGCACCAGGTTTGCATCCCTTTTTCCGCATTTGCAGGGCATATTTTCAGAGCTCAGGAAAGGAGTGCAGCAGTAAACACTCATGCTGGGAGGAGAGACTGACATGCTGAGTGGGCAGAAAAAAAAAGCATGTGAATAATAAAGAGAAAAAGACAGGGAAAGGCTAAAAGTAGTAGAAATATTGTGGTATAGGAGGTATTTCAATTGTCCCTTGCTGCTCTCAGAACCCTGTTGTGCCTTCTCAAAAGCTCCGACTTCCAAGTGAGAAAATTGAAGTATACCATCATTTTGAAAGTTTCCGTTAGTCAGGCATAAGGTCAGCAATTCTCTCCTGGCTACTCTGGGCAACAGGCTGTTGTAAATAAGCCGAGTTCAAGGTGAGTGAGGTGGGCTTATTTAAGTGGCTTATAGGTCAGGCTGTATGTAGCTCCTGGGATGGGGTGAGAAAGAATGAGAACAACTTTCCTATCCATAGTGCTGCCTCTCTGTCCCTAGGCAAGTCCCTGGATAATTCACCACGGACATTTCCTCAAATCGGTAAATGGGGATAACTGTTGTATCTCACATATCTTACTTCTAAATTACAAAGTTATGCTGGCATCTAAAAATAAAGTAATGGGAAAGCATTCTAGGCAAATACTAACAAAAAGAAAACATATGGGACAACTGGATATCTGCATAAAAAATGAAGCTTGGGAAAAATATTATGAAACTGGACCAGTATATCACACCAAATAAAACAATTACTTCAAAATCCATCATTGATCTAAAGGTGAGAACTGAAACTTATAGAAGAAAACATAGGAGTAAGTCTTCACATCCTTGGGTTAGACAACAGTTTCTTAGATATGACATCAAAAGCACAAGCAACAAAAGAAAAACTAAATGAAATTAGACCATATCAAAATTAAACACTTTTTTTTTCTGCAATGATACCATAGAGTGAAAATATGACCCACAGAATGGGAAAAGATATTTGCAAATCCTGTATCTGACAAGGGTCTTGTATACAGAGTACATAAAGAACTTTTACAACTTAGTAATTAAAGGGACAAACATTCCAATTTTAAAATGGATAAAAGATCTCAATAGACATTTCTTCAGTGAAGATATGCCAATGGTCAAGGAGCAAATGATAGTTACACAACGCCATTAACCAACCGTGAGGGAAAGGTAAGTCAAAAGTGTAATGAAATACCACTTTCCACCCACTGAGACAGCTACAATAAAAAGGACAATGGCAAGTCTGGTAAGGACACAGCAAAACTGGAGCCCTCATACATTGCCGATGGTAATGTAAAATGGTGCGGCCACTTTGGGAAACGGTTGGCACTTCCAAAAATTGTTAAATACGGAGTTACCATATGACCCAGAAGTTCTACTTCTAGGTATACACCCAAGAGAAATGAAAACATACATCCACAGAAATACATATGAATGTTTATAGTAGCATTATTTATAATGGCCAAAAGGTAGAAACAATCGAAATGTCCCTCAACTGATGGATGGATTAAACAAAATGTGGTATATCCATATAATAAAATATTATTGGCAATAAAAAAGAATGAAGTACGGATCCATGCTATTGCATGGGTAAACCTTGGAATGCTATGCTAAGTGAAAGAAGCCAAAACAAAAGACCACATGTTATATGATTCCATTTATAGCAAATGTCTAGACAGGTAAATCTGTACAGACAGTTGTAGATTCATGGTTGGTGGAGAGGAGCTGGGGGAAAATGGTGAGCAACTCTCTGTGTGAGTATGGATGGGGTTTCTTTCTGGGATGATGAAATGTTCGATGGTGGTAATAGCTACACAACTCTCTGAATATACTAACGATAACCAAATCGTACAATTCAAATGTGTGATTATATGGAGAAATTAAGTCATCTCTTAATAAACTTGTTACAAAGAGAAGAAAGTGTAAGTAGCAATATTAATATCTGATGAAGAGATTTGAAGGTAAAGAGTACCAGATGCTAAAAGGTACAAGATAAAAAAAATACCCATAAGAGTCCTGAAATTTACATGTGTAATGATAGAGTTTTTGAATTACTGAAGCCGAAGAGTGAAATACAAAGAAAAGTCAAGGAGCTGCTCTCATAATGGGAAACTTTTTCGCTTTTCTTAGAAATTGATATGTCACTTAGACAAAGATAACTAAATGGAGAATTAGCCACTGGAAGATGTTGGTCTAGAAAAGACCATGTGAAGAGGCAGCGAGAGAGGCCATCTGCAGGCCAAGGAGGGAGTCCTCAGCAGGAACCAAACCTGCCAACACCTTGATCTTGGACTTCTAAGCCTGTAGAGCTGAGATAAAATAAATCTCTGTTGCTTTGTCCAAGAAAAGATGTTTATCTAAAAGATATCAAGAAATGTATACCCAACAGATAGAAAATATTTATTCTATATAAAGCCTTTTGGAACAGTCAGAAGAAAATAACCAAGTTTTAGACAAAAAAAATCAATACAACCTCAATAGATTTCAAAAAACATCTATGCAAACCGCTATTTTTATCAAAATTCACTAAATTAGCTACTTCTAACAAAATCTTATGTGAAAAGTTTAAAACTCCCTGCTAAATAACTTGTGTTAAAAGTAGGGTGACCATACTTTCTGGTTTAACCAGAATGGTCCTGGCTTACACCTGTTTTCCTGACCTAAAAGATACAGTTCATTGGCAAAGGTGCCCAGTTTAGGTGATGAATCATATAGTGATCTCATCTAAGAAACAATCCACAAGCACAGCCGGAATCTAGTGAGAAAGAAGTGACAGAACTATGACCCAAAACC